AAACTTGTTTTTTGCTGAAACCTTGGTTTTCATCTTTCATTTTTTTATTTTGACGCCTCGCACATGCCAGAATTATGTTTACGGCGGGTTTTGCTGCCCCTTAGTGGTCAGAAAATCAATGAACATTAATGTGTATTTTATTTTATTATAATCAGAGGACGGTTTAACCCTCAAATGAGTGAGAAAGAAGCGGCAGCCTTCATCATTAAAGTCATCCAAAGCTGTTTCCTCAGCAGCAGGTAAGAAAAAGACTCAAATGTTATCAACATTATGCAAAACACCAACAAAACAAGACATTAAACTGGCTGTTTTATTTGAAACATGTTATGACTTACATATTTCCATTGTCTTTTCTTTTATCAGGAGCAAAACGTACGACATGCTGCAGTACTACCAGAACCAAATTCCTTACTGAAAGACTTCTGCCGGACCTCCACTGTACGTCCGATACAAACGTCTCTACACAAGCAATGCAAACCTTCTTTGGGTTGATTTTAAAAAGGCCGTGCGATGCATTTTCCACTCCGAGACAACAATATGGCACTTTGATCCTAAAGCTCTGATTTTATTCAGCAAACTGTAAGTTGTCGGATTTTATATTGTACTTCTGTGTTTTAAAGTACGTCTTCATTCAACTTGAGACTAAAGAACAATGAACAACTTTTACCAAAACAGGTATTTAAACCACCCTTTAAGTATTTTCTTCTTGATGCTGTTGTTTGTTTCTAACACTAACTGTCACACTGGAGGAAGAAGATGGCCGCTAAGAGAGTCATATTTATCGTTTTTGTCAAAGCAGCGTTAATCATCATTGTGATCAATTGTTACTATGCTGTTATCCACTTTTATGCACTTTATAAATCCCAGTATTTCATCGGCTTCTCCTGCCTATGATCACAAGCTTAAATAGAGATTATAAATTAGAGACAAAGCAATCTGCATTTTAATCAACTGATTCTGTAATCACATTATTTTTGATTTAGTAGAATACTAAAGCTGGTAGACAGATCCAGAATTACTCGTTTTTAGGAATATAATTGGTATTTAGAGAATCAAATGTAATTATGCTGTAGTACGTACTGTAGAATATTTACTGTAGATCAAATCAACATCGCAGCTAGTTTTCTGTGATTTATGTGGAACTTGTAGAGTTATATGTGAAGAACTTATTAATCAGAAGATTATAATAGCTGTGCTGCTTTGAAGATGACCCTCAAAGCCAGTCGTGTCTCACATCAACATGTTAGCTTTTGCTTTGTTTCAATTATGTAGAGATTGTTTATTTTCCACTACATGAATCTGATGACTGACGACCTGCAGTTTGAGGAACCTGTACGGCTTTGGTGCAAGGTTCTGCTTTTTGTTTCCACAGTGTTTTTTAAACTGGGTTGTTATGGGTATACCTCTTAAAAAATACATTTCAAATGCTCTGTTTCTAAGCAGCGCTAAAATGAAGGACAAGTGTAGAGAACAGAAGAGGAAACCAGACCCTGTGACAATGGCTTCATGTTAAGTTCCTGTTGTGGAAAAGGACATGAGGATAGAGTAAAGCTGCAACAGTACATTTGTCAATCAAATTAAAAGTAAATGTCTACTATTTTCAAAATCTATTAATTGTTGAAGTCATTTGTCCTATAGAAAAGTCAGAAAATGCTGTTTCCAGCTTCTCAAATATGAAGCCGTTCCCTTTTTTTCTCAGTTTTATCTCATATTAAACTGAATATCTGGAAAAACTGAGAAACTGGGATGAAAAACGAATTTCTGACATTTTATAGACCAAACAATTAATCGATGAATCTTATATATTCGGCAGATTAGCTAGCTGACGGCAGACCAGGAACCCACTGACTGCTAATCACATTTATGTCAGAAAGATTTTCCTAACATGTAACTCCTTTGTGTATCTGAGTTATATTGAATCACTTGGGTTTGGAGTTTTGTTGGATGATCTTGCTTTTACCGCTGCAGACGATGATTATACCTTAAAAGCCATTTCTCCTATACCTAAGGTAGAAACACAACTGTAGTAATACTTGACGAAAACCCTAACCTTATGCAATATATTGATGTATATTGATGCTGTACTTGTGTGTTATATGCTCAACAAATGAACTCGCTATAATTCCTTCCATCGTGAGAAGTGTTTCTCTGTCTGTCTTAGTGTCGTTGCAGAATCGACGTAAACGCAAGTACTTGTTTAATGGCTTGTAAAAGAGTTAAAGAGGCTGCTGTGATCAACTCTTTATGAAGCCATTTCAATGTAGTGGATTTTTTTCTTGAGTTGCTGTATTTTAAATGAGTTAGTCATCCCGTATCTCAATCAGATATGTAATATATAAATGTGTGCATTTTTTTGTTTGTATTTGCTCAGTTTGTGGCGACATCATTGACGGTTCAGATGAATCACCTCTGTTGTTCTGATATGTGAAAATGTCTTCTTTCCAGATTAAATGTGTAAACATTTCAAATCACTGATGTGTGTTACTCCTTTGTTCTCTGCCTTGTTGGCATGAGCTCAAAATAACTTCCACAGCGGATTAGAGGGGTTTTTAAGAAGTTGGGTTCCTTTTTCAACCCATAAAGGAACTAAACGCTAAATATATAAATAAAATGTTTTTTGTTTTTAAGGCAATCTGGTATGTATCACGTTTCAATCACATTTAATTGTATCTTAGATAATTAAAAGGTATGAAAATTAAAATGATAAATCAATCAATCAAAGTTTATTCATATATCACAAACGTTACATTTGTCTCAGGGGGGGCTTTACAGTTTGTACAGAATACAACCCCCTCTGTCCCTCACATCGGACAAAGAAAAACTCCCAAAGAAACCCCAGAGTTAATGGAGATAATAATTATATTTTATTGTATATATTAAGAATAAATAAATTAGGATTTTCCTAAATGCCCCTTCAAATGATAAATGATCAATAACTTCCACTATAGTTAAAGATTATATTTTTCAGCCTGTAAATCAAATGTAGTTATTTTTACTCGCATAATTCAGACCAGAATAATGAATTGGAGAAAGAATAAATGCTTTTAATGAATCTGAAAAGATATGAAGATCCTATAGCTTCTCCCTGATAGTTTCTATGCATGTATTGTTTGGTTATACACAAAATAATCCACTTTCTAAGGATAGCAGAGCAGCTGAAACTCTACTTATCATATTCTGTTGTCTGAGCCTGGAAGCTGTGAACGGAGACAAACAAAGAGAGGAGAGTTTAACGAGAATGCAGCCAGTTGTGTTGAACTCTGACCTGGGACACAAGAGAAGGGGCCCATTTCACACCAGAGGGCCCCGTCATATGTCTGATAGGATGCAGAATAATGTGAGTTCATTAAGAAAAATCTGATGTAGAGAAGTTAACAAAAAGGATTCAAATATGTTTCAAGTTTGGTCTTCTACAAACTATCGATAATTAAAAAAAATATTTGTGAACCAACAAGATGCCTACCGAAGAGAGAAATGTATGCCAGTAACACAAAGGCAAAGATGGCGGTGGGAGTGAAATCTTGGCTTGTGCACAAAGGACCCCTGACCCCCCCCCCTCCTCTTTATTGTCACTGAGCTGTATAGGGCATGGGCCCCTGGGGACATTTTCACAACAAATTCTAAAACAAAAAATAGCTCCTAACTGGCCAAGCTTGGAGAAACTGCTCATAGTAAGGGGACTCCTTCTTTGAGTCACAATGAATTGTTGGTTTGTGCAACTCTACTGCAGAGATCCTGAAAAAAACACAGTTCGCAGCTTGATGGACTTTAAATATCTCAGAACTATGACCACACATTTTGTCTTAAGAACTAAATATAAACATTTGACTTTTGACATGTGTGCTCACATATGACATTTGTGATAGTTTAGTAAATATATTAAACATTTGTTTATGAAAAGGACTTGATAAACATTTTATTTCACAATCTCTGACACAGTCATCCTCGAATCACTGAACCACAAAATGCTCCCTCAGACTCTCTTATGTTAGACAGCATTGTTTGATCATGATTTGTATGTGTACCCTAACTTCAGAGCTCCATCTAGTGCTCAGAAAACACTTTCAAACTCAGATGTTCTGAGGAGGACATGGGTCAGCTGCTGCTCTTACAGAAAAATGAGAAATGTGTCTGATTCAGCATTTAGTTTTTTCTATTCAGCCTATGTATACAACGACATGAAAAAAAAACGTGATGGTGAATAACTATTATATATGGACAGCTGTCCATCAGACAAATAAGTATAGAACTGAAGACCATGATAAGGGTGAATTTAGTTCAAAGTCCAGAATTACCAGTGTGACTATTACCACTTTCATGTTTGTATGCTAAATATAAAAGCCATTTATCTAAGCATATATATAAAAAAAGTGTATAAAGAATGCAAACACATGGAATGGCAAGCATATTCATAATAATAACCTTGTGGACTGTTTTAGTAAGATAGTTTTGTGCAATGGATTTCTTATGAATGTCAATAGACTCTTGTTTATAGCATGATTGTAGCCCTGTCCTTTGTGTCCTTGGGATTACTGTTATCCTTATTGTTGACTTTTACTGAGTTTTATTTGATTTATTCATTTATTTTTGGCCCATTGCTGATGCCAGGAATCTTCCAAATATTCAATGCGTTAGAATTGCTTTCTTACATTACTGTATAATTTAATGTCAAATTTTGCTGTTGTATTTTTTCATGCATTTCTGCATGAATGAGAAACGATTCCACCTATAATATTGTGTCCTATAGTGGTGAATTGTAAGTGTAATTACTTAAGTACTGCATTTAACTGCAGGCAAGATTATGCAATAACTTATCATAACTAACACATAGTGAGTATGTTCCACTACGTCCTATAAATGAGAGGTTACTCAGGTGAGTATCACTGTATGACTGTCTGTCAGGTATTCTTATCAACAGGTACATTTCCCCCTCCGACTGGGTGACGTCATGGGGATGGGCAGGTCACGTGGTCCGGTCATAGGAGACCTGTTGGTGTAAAGTTACTGAAATGGGAGAGAAGAAGAAAAGGAGGAGGTGGATAAGGAAGGAGGCGAACAAGGTAGGTTAGGCAGAATAATAACTGCATGTATATCCTCATTTCAAAAGTATTTATCAATGCGGTTAGTTAGACATCAATATGGAGTCTTTTATAGTTTTAAACGGAAACCTTTTAACGAAGAAACGTCAGTAAACGTAGCGTTTTGTTCACCACCTCGAGTGAAGTTAACCCCCGTTGTCGTAACGAAACTTTTTTTTAAACAGCTGTCTAAAGCGACATTTAAGCAAGCTACTGTGTGTTTTTCTTTTATAATATAACCTGAAGCATGATAGTTACCTTTAAACAGAGTCAAGTTATTGCGTTAATTTAATTTTCTCCCTGACCGAGCCCTCTGGATGCGAGCCAACACTTGTTGCAATGTTATTAGGCCTCCTTCACTGCACACATGTATTACATACCTGCTGTGGACTGAGTTTTAAATGTAGCCTTTGTTGTCAGTACTTTAGTGTCATGTAATTATATCAGAGCCGAGATGTTTATAGACCTCTGTATTATTATAAAGCAGATTCCTCATAACAGGAGTCTCTGACATTATTACTGTAGGTGTACACAAAAGTACTTCCCCATGTGAGCCGTTATCTTAGGATAAAAGTACTAATACCATACTATTTAGCACAAATACAAGTACTGCATTAAAGGTATGTTACTTAGGATGTAATCAGGAAGTGTACTTTACATGCAAATATTAAAAAGACAAAACGTACTCACCATGTAGAGTTGCCCCTTTCAGAATATATCATAGAATTGGATTATTATAATGGGTATGTATTATATATGTGAGCTAGTTTTGATAGCGTTATATACTGCTGGGTAACTAAATGTATATGTTTGAAATGTTTTTGAAGAACAGGATGAGTGAATTCATCAGTGGTGGAGAAATTATTCAAATGCTTTATTTACAAAGTACTAAAACCACACTGTAATAATGTAATACCTGTAAGTACAATTACAAGTGAAACTACGTTACTTAGTAAAGTATATAGTACACACTACTTGAGATGTAGTTTCTTGATGTGATGCTATCAATTTTATAATATTAATGTATACATTTTTGATTAAGGGAAACATTCTTTGTTTCCACCTTACATTTTGTGTTGCTTTTCTCAATTGTACTGCACTGTAAATGTAATATATGTTTTTTAATGTTGGCTGGACAAAACACACATTGAAGACAGTTATTTGGGAAATTGTTAGTTTTTATTCTCATTAGATGCAGCGTTAAAGAAGTCGACCATCATCTCATCTTGTTGTGTCTCTGCAGGTGAACCATCCAACGACACACTGTCTGTTCATACAAGGTTTGCATTCTGACCTGCAGGCCAATGTAAGTCGTGTTGAGTGACTGCGTGTGAAAGAGGTATTGAAGCTCAGTTAATATCATTTTTTACCTCTCGAGATCATTAAAGAAATGGGCTTTTAAGGGCTGATTTAAATGTCAAGAATACATTTTTATGCTGCCTGCAACAACTAATCATAAGTTTAGATTCCTGGGTAGGACACATGAGAGCTTATTACAACAACAACAACGGGAGAATTCTTACTTCATATTGGATGGCAGCACAAAAATATATTCTTGACTCGGCTTGCATGGAGGATGCTGGGATAACATCTCCACTCATGAGGGCTTTTCTCTGGTGACCTCAGGTACTTGGGGGTTAGCTGCAGCTTGTAGGTATGTGGGGCAAACAGATTTTGCATGAATGATATTCTTGAATGTCTAATTCAAATTTTTCAACAGTTTGGGACATTTTTTTATCTTCTGGCCTTTTCCTTCTTACGTGTTTATTCTTTCTTTGCTTTCCTGGTTCAGGTAATGATTTGAATGGATGGAAATGTATATCTAGGGCTGAAATTATTATTTTATTGACAAAAACATACAATACATTTTCAAGCAAGTTCCTGTCTCCGGGCACATTATTCAAGGATTTCCTGCTTTTTCTATGTCTTATAAGATTATAAATTGAGTATGTTTGACTTTTTGACTTTAAGTTGGCAAAGCAAGACATCACCTTAAAATTAAGCTTTGAAAACATTAACAGTTTTCTTTAATCACTTATTCATCTGGCCTATTAAGCATTAGCAAAGGATAACAACAAATAGCCATTTCAATGACCTAGAGCTCAAGATGATATCTTTAAATATCCCGTTTTTTTTAAAACCCAGAGATATAAGTGAACAATGTGATAAACAGAAAAAAGGCAACAAATCCTTTTATTTGAGTAGCTATAAGCAGCTCATGTTTCTGCTTGAAAAAGGATGAATCAACTATAAAAACATTAGACAATAATGAAATAATGAGTTGTCGAGCAACTTATTATTTCAGCTTTAAAATAAGGATAAAAAGACCTGTAGGTCAAATTGAAACGCATTAAAACTATTCTAAATAAATGTGTGTGTGCTCTCAGGGACCACTACCATCCTCATGTCCAATGGAGGAGGCTTTTATGGACGCACTGAGCGTGTCCGCCAGTCGCCGTACTACGACCAGGTGCCACTGGGCTCCTTACCACGAGCAGACTCCTACGATCCACTTCCACTGAGAGAGCAGAGAGACACTCGCCTCGCTCAGAGCGCCGACCCCCTCCCTCCTCCGCCTCTCCCTGACCACCCCCCCGTGGGCCCAGAGTTAAATCCCAGCGGCAGTGAGGACAACGGAGACCCGGACGACCCCGCCTTAGATATCAAACCCGTCCACCGCTTCATCCCAGACTCCTGGAAGAACTTCTTCAGAGCAAGTGACCGCAGCAGTAAGCAGGCGTGGTCAATGCCTGACTCGTCATGTAACAACAACAACAGCACCAGTGACGGGGTGCGCTGCTCTCCTCCACAGTCCCCGGTCCCTGGGTCCTACCGAGATCCTTTTGGGGGCTCGGGAGGCAGCTACAACTCACGCAAGGAGCTTCTGGAACTACGGGATGGCAATGAGTCCTTGTCGGGGCGCACCCACCGCACAGGTCTGACCTACAGCGAGCGGGTGGAGGAGTACCATCAGCGCTACGACTACATGAAGTCCTGGTCAGGGCTGCTGAGGATTCTGGGATGTGTGGAGCTCCTGCTGGGGGCCGCTGTGTTCGCCTGCGTCTGCGCTTACATCCACAAAGACAACGAGTGGTTCAACATGTTTGGATACTCGTCTCCTGGAGCAGCGTACGGAGGAGGAGGGTTATATGGCGGAGGCACAGGGGGGTCCTACTACTCGGGCCCCAAGACCCCCTTTGTGTTGGTGGTGGCAGGGCTGGCCTGGCTGGTGACTGTGATCATGTTGGTGCTGGGGATGACCATGTACTACCGCACCATCCTGCTGGACTCCAACTGGTGGCCTCTGACCGAGTTCACCATCAACCTGGCGCTGGCTTTGCTTTACATGACTGCAGGTCGGCAACAGCTGAACACTCATATTACAAATGGGTTTTCACCTTGATGTATCCTACAGATAGTTTTAATGTTACCGTTGCTTTTGTATGCATTTCAGTCACTTGTAAGGGACCATGTTCAATATTTAAAAAATACGATTGCCACTTGACATAGTGTACCAGATTAAAGCTAGTGTCATCAAAACAGATAGATTGTTGGTACAGAGTTGGTTACCTTTTTAGAAGACTTAAAATGTTTTTTTAAGGATCATAGCAATTCATAAGATTGCTTTTACTAGTATTTGGCATGTTTCTTTATGTGAAATTGAGGAGTTATTTTAAGGATAACTACAGCTTTTAAAATATAATGATTTGTTAAAAGTTCTAATTAGTGAACTATTTTAGCAATTCAATTATGTGTACACATTAATACATCTGTAATATATTTCCAGTAATGTAACATAGTCTATTATAGTATAACACTAATGTTAAATATGTTCTTTTTGGAGATATAGCATCAGAAATCTTAATATCTTAAAACTGCTAGATACCACTTGGAAAGCAAGACATTTTACTTTCATGCATGGACTGCCTCTTCATAGCATGTTTGCTTTCTGTTTACCAGCCATTGTCTATGTTCGAGACACGACTCGCGGAGGGCTTTGCTCCTTGCCGATCTTCAACAATGGCATCAACGGGGCGTTCTGCAGAACAGAGGCAGGCCAGACGGCAGCCATTATCTTCCTGTTTGTCACCCTGGTTGTTTATCTGATCGGAGCCATGGTGTGTCTCAAGCTGTGGAGACATGAAGCTGCACGCAGATACCGGGAGAAATACGGCGAGGAGGAGGTGAGAGCTCTGACACTTTAGTTATTCTGTTTGAAGGGTTGGGACATGGGTTTCGTCTGACAGTTAATGATTAATCCAACACTATCTACCACTCACTTTAATGAGTTAACAGACAGGCTGCAAACATGTTCTCACACACACGCGCACACACACACACACACACTGCATTACAACAACACACCATATCATTTGCATACAGGGCTACAGCTGTGGAGGAAGGAGTAGGCGGAGTCAGTGAGTCCTACCTGTTTATTGGAGGGTAAAACACTGCACACACACATTCTGATTCAACAACACTAGGTTTGAGATCCACATATAAAACTCTTCTTTTGGGTTACTTGTTATTTGTTGTGTTTTGATCTGTTAAAAGAATATCTATTTGATTTATTGCAGAAAGTAAGATGAGAAGATTGATATCTCTCCTGTGTCACTAATATACTTTAGCCAGGACATTGTTAGCTAGACTGAAGTAAGGGGTACAAGCTTACCTTGCTCTGTCTAAAAGTAAAACAATCTGTCAATTGAAGCTCACTGCTCTTGGCCAGGCAACAGTCCACCACATATCCTCTTGTAAAACCACAGGATGATGTTTTTAAATGTTGTTTTCTTCCACATATACAAACAATAACATGTGTGTCAATGAGCTTTAAAGATGTTGTAGGGTGGACAGAACCAGGCTAGCTGTTTTCCCTGCTTTATACTTAGCGTCTTCTGACTATAGCTTCCTATGTGGCAGACGAGAGAAATATCTTATTTTTTATCAAGCTCTGCAAGAGAGCAACACAAAGGGTATTTCCCCCTCTACTATCCCTTTAAATGGTAAGACATCATTAAAAGCCTAATGTTAACTGGATTCTATTTTTGTATGTTTTACACACAGATGCGTCCCTCCGACATAAGAGCTACACACTCATTGGTAAGCCTCCTGTATTTTGTTTTACTGTAAAGAAACATACTCACGTTTGCGTTTATTGAAACGTGAAAGTTGCTTCAATCTTTCCAATCCTTTTGTCATAGCTGTGTTTGTCCTGTTTTGTCTCTGCAGATGGTTCCAGATTCAGCTCCCATTCCCAAAGCTCCAGAGCAGGTGCGAGGCTCCTCAGTGGTTCCCATCCACGCCGCTCCTAAAGCCATCCCACCTCACATTCTGCAGGGAGCTATACCATCAGGACACATCCCAAAACCTGTCATCGTGCCTGACTACATCGGGTAAGTTCTGCTATAAAAAAAAAGCAAGGACAAGTAGGTGCAATAATGTGTTGCTATGTTGGTTAAATAACAACTGTATGTCCAGCTTTGCCTAACATACATACAGTTTACCAATGTTAATAAAGACTTGTTCTCTTCTTCCGTCCTGCAGTAAGTACCCGACGATCCGCTCAGAGGAGGAGAAGGACCAGTACCGAGCCGTGTTCAACGACCAGTACGCAGAGTACAAGGAGCTCCACGCGGAGGTGCAGGTCACCGCCAAGAAGTTTGACGAGATGGACGCCATGATGCGCAGTCTGCCCCAGAACCCTTCCACCCAGATGGTGAGTGTTTACTCACTCAGAATACAATCGTGTTTTTCACTCAATAGTCAATCAGAACTCCTTTATCAGATTCTATCTGTACTCTATCTTCCAAAATGTAGATGCCATTTTTTTAATCGCATGGGACTGTTTGTGCATTTATTCTATCTGCAGTCATGTATTGGTCTTTTTGTTTTCAGATAGAAATGCTATTTAGAGGTACATTTTCCAATGAATTGAACTAACCATAAAGACATTAGAGATGCTGATCACACATTGTTGTACAAAATAAAGTTTAAAAAAAAATCTAAGCTAAGATACAGTTTTCTTTAGTTATTTTTTTGGTAAAATATGTTTTACTCTTATATCAGAAGATGCCTTCCTTGTTTTGTACAGTGTATTTATATTTCAATATTTTACATTCTGCAGAAAGTTTCAAACAAACAACACTGCCCAGAAATGATCTCAAAGAGGTTTCTGAGTTTGGAAACCCTTAAGTGTAGATCATTTTTAACAATGTCTTTGCAAACATTTAAAATCGGCCAACAAATACACATTTGATTGATATTGAGGACTTTTAATCTCACCCAGTTCTCATGTGTGCTCCTGGTAGCCATGCCTTAACAAATGACACACACACTTAGTGCATCATCACACTGGACCTACTTTGCATGGATGAACACAAGTTAACATGAACCCTGCTGGACTGATACCATCAGGGTTTGGTATTATGACAGTGCTGGGAAAACCATTTCTGTCAGAGAATGATTGTGTGTCTGGAATATGCACCCAGTCTTTTTGTTGCTAAAATGTGCCTCATTTCCCCTTCTCATAACTTCCTCTGTTTGCCCTTCCTGTTCCTGCTGTACTTCCCCTCCACCCTAACATTCCTTCTCTGCACCATCCACAAGCACCTAGTTGTATTACCTAACTGTACTACTTCATGTATTTCAATCTTTATGGATGATCTTTAATTGAATTCAGTCTCTTGTCTCTGCTTGCAGGAGGTTGATCGCATTAACAGAATCCTTCAGGATTACCAGAAGAAGAAAAATGTGAGCTGATTCTCTTTTTTCGCTGTTTTGTATACAGTGTTGTTCTGCTGCCCATGTTGATATGTTCTTAATAGATACTTAAATCTCTCAAAACACAAATATGTATTTAGATTATTTTTTTAGATCTCAGTAATTTCTTAAAACAGCTGTTCACTTTAGTTTTTTATCAGACAGAACTAGGTGCATGTTTCGGCACTGCTTTCAGTCATGGATTAATCCACATTTGGTGCTTTTGTGAGTTGTGTGGCAGCAGGACATTATGTGACCCGCTCTATCGAAATCAGTCGGAAGTCGCAACGGCTCATTTCAAAATAAACGTGGATTTACGTAAAAAAATGGTTTTTCGGGGTTCGGGTGTTTTGTTTGATTTTAAATAAACAAAGTCTTAGCTTTCAGAATATGAAACTTTTATTTCCAAAATCACACGATAAATACATTTTTGAAGCTTGTAAAGGGAAGAAGACAGCTCTCCCTCGCACTCTGCTCTTCCGCAGCGCAGCCCCCCTCCCTCCGCTGACATTATGAATGTAAGGCATAGTAATCATAGATAACACGGCAGGGTCCGTTACAGTTTGTTTTCATATGATTTCAAATAAACAAAGTCTTGGCTTTCAGAATATTAAACTTGTTTCGGCAAATTCAGATGATAAATACAGCTTTGAAGCTTCGGCATAATTACAAGCGGAGAACGGAGTAACTTGACGTCACAGCAGGCATAACAACAGCCGGTGTTTCTCGTGAGTGTTTTCCCCGGGAAACAAACACAATACACACAAACGCAAAAATACACACAGACACACACACACACACACACTCGCGAGCTTCCCCCAGACCAGTAATCCAAACGAAAATATTTTCCCTCCGTAGTATTTTGATCATTTGCTCCACTAATCAATCAGATCGATGGATTCCAGAGAAGAGAAAACTTTGAAGGCCTTTTTCTCAAAATGATGACTCGGTGACAGTCATTATATAATGTGACATATTTTGCTTAATATTTGGAGTACAAAAACAATCGTGATATCATTAGAACGCTAGGAATCTCCTCTTTCCAACAGTGTATACAACTCAAAATGTGTCTTCGGGTCAATGCGATTGATTTCAATAGAGCAGGTCACATATGCAGAGTTAAGTCAAATGTAATGACAGTGTGTGTTCATAGGAATACAGGAACATGTCACCCAGTTGGACAGTGTGGCTCATTTATGTTTTGTTTAATCAATGGAACTGAGGAAAATATATAACAGGTTGTGGTGCACACACAATACTTGTTAGTAGATATTTATTCAGTGTTGGTTTCCATCTTTTCATTGGATTTGTTGACTGGGAGAAAAATTGAGAATATCACCAGCGTTACTCATTCATTATAATAGTTAACAAACGGCCCTTGAACAGCTGAATTATACAGTAAAAAGTGGGTATCTCAAACATAAATTTTTTATTCTCATCGGTGTTTCTGCTTTATCAAATCAGGACCCGACTTTCCTCGAGAAGAAGGAGCGCTGCGAGTACCTGAAGAGCAAACTGTCGCACATCAAACAGAAGATCCAAGAATACGATAAGGTGATGGAGTGGAACGACGGATACAGCTAACCCTCTAGCAAATATCTGTACCCTGGCACACCTCTGAACACTAATACAGAACTAATGCTGACAGCTGGGCTACTGGTGGGGAAAGTGACATTTGAACTGGAGAGCGAACATGAGGCATGTAAATCTGTACAGCTGTTTCCATCTATCAGCAGCTTTGTATAACTGTGTTCATTAAGAAGTAGAACCAAATGTGACAGTTTTATATTCAAAGAAATGTCTTGACATTTTGGGAAATATGTTTGATCGCTTTCTGGTGTGGAGTTAGATGAGGAAATAGAAATAGCTCTAATATTTGTGAGGTAACTATAAATACACATCAAGAAGCCAGATTAGCAAAAAGCTTGTAAGTAACAAAAATAAAACAAAGTCAGCCTATGAACACAATCATTTCACTCATGTACACGTTATTTCTTATTCCAGTGTAAAATGGAGTTATGGGCGGGACTATTTTCTTAGAAATAGAGGCTAAGCACATAAATAAAACAGATATGGATGATATTTTTACTCATAATTTTACAAATCAGTTAATTCAAGGCTTTGAAAGTGCTGGCTGGTGGATTTCGGTTCCTTTGCGCTAAGCTATCTGTGATTGGCTATAGTTTTATGTTAAAAAGATAAGACTCCTCTAAGTCTTTGCCTGAAAGCGAATAAGCATGTTTGCCAAACATGTAAAGCTATTCCTTTTATTTTAAATGGTTTGAATATGCAAATAACTGGATATGAATATACAAGATATTTATGTTTAATACTGTGACTATGATTGTAGCCGAGACACACCACTATATGTTATGACACTGGTATCCCTAGTTTAATTAGTGAGAGATGGAAGAAGCAAGGGAAAGTTAAAAGGAAAGACACTGCATTATTTCTCTGCTGTACGTCACATGATTATCTTTCTATTAGTCCACTTGTTTGCCTGTTTACATTAATTTCACAACTTTAAAGCCTGAAATGAAAACCACTGCTTATCCGGACATATCCCATCTAGCTGCTTTATGTAAAGGATTGTTTTAATTGCACACTGTTTGTTTTTTTAACGCGTATCTGTTTTTCTAAATCTGGAAATATCCATGTCTGATAGTATAATTTAAAATGTTGTTTGTTCTGTGTGTTGTAAAATTATGTTCTACCATTTCACTGATTAAACATTTTGTACTTTATAGCCACGTAGCTCCCTGAATATCTTCATTTTATCCTCTTTATTCTGTACACATGTGACCTCTTGATTCAGTGGGAATATTATCATAGGGTCTGTGTTTGCCTAATGTTTTTAAGAGAATTTGTAAATATGTTGCTGTAAATGTCCATATTCTTTCATAATTTAAAGTGATCATTTGGTGCTTTTTGTTGCAAGAATACAATTTTGCTTCTCTACTTACGGTCTGTGGGTTTTTTTGTTTGATCAGCTGGCAGGTACAGTTCCTTTTTGATTGTAAAAAGGAACAAATAAAAAAACAGTGCTCTGTTAGAATAAGCTGAATGAATTTATTAGAAACTACAGAGATGAAATAGGTCAATTAGGTTTACTTGTTCTAGTCGTTTTAGATTTTTTTTAATCAAATCAATGACATTCACTAAGTCATTACTTGAATATTGAATTCATTGAGAAAACTGCCATCTTAATACTTTAATAATACAAAAATTGTGTGAGTGTATACTTGCACCGGGGTAAAAAATAGCTACACCACAGGCATTTGGTTATTTACACTAATCTGTTGTAGCAGTAATTACTCAATAATATCCCAATGGCACTTATTTAAAAATGTAAACATCAATTATTATTATTATTATTTTATCTCCTTTATTTTTATAATAATTATGAAGAATAATCTGAGGATTCAATAACGATGCATTATAGGCCCTTCTTAATCATAAGACTTTCATAAGTGTAAAATATGTGTAGGGTACTATATGTTCACTTTTTTTTGTCAATTTCTCTGGTTGTTTATCCAGTTAGATTTAATTGATGCTACATTTTAACAACCAAAAAAATAGCCTACAATATTGTGTTTGCACTGTTACGTTTACTGAAGCATAGTATTTTCCACAGGTATTTCTATGAAGACTAGGTGAGGACTTCCGGTGTTGCGGGCGGGGCTAAAATGACCGAGAGCGGCTAGGTGTGGCCTGCATTGTTTTTAACAGCAGTCAGTTTCAGTTGAAACATTTCAGGTGGAGCAGAGAGACAGGACGACCGGTGAGTGTGTGTGCACATCAGTTTGTGAGATTAGCATCACAGTCTACTTGGTCTACTTGTGGTTATTTGCTAAATCCTTAATAATTGGACACCTGTTGCGACAACAAACAGGTGTGTTGTTAGATACTTTAAATCACTTATCTCCTTAGCGCGGCACCTCGACGTGTTGTCAAATGAATGTGTTGAATTGTCTTAAAAGTGCGTAAATACTGTGAGTTTATCCGTGGAAAGTGGTTGAGTTTGTTGTCTGACAATTTATTTCGGATTTAACAAGAAATGTGGTACTTCAGTAGTTTATATTAACATGACCAGAGGCCAGAGATGTTCCAGCCGCCGCCTAACCTGATATTAAAAATGGCCATTTAAAATCGATATGTTATAACATGAAACAGCCCTGATATTATTAATCGGTTTTTTAAACTACAGAATATGTTTTTACTATGGAATTTATCAAGCAAAAAGTGTCCCCAGTCCTGAATTATTTAATGTGAGAAATCACTGCCTTGTTTTGGCCTTCTCTTAGTGAATGTAGTCCCTATCTCATAGTAGACTCGTCTTAATTGATATGTTATGGTCTTCAATAACCTCAGGGTAATTTTCATAATTTATTTTAAAAATGTTCAGGCTTAATGATCATTCAAAAAATGAATCAATTGTTGCAGCTCTATTTTAAATAGGTTTTATTAAATGATGGCCTAACAACATAAATATTCTTTCAGATTATTTTTAACAGAGATTTTAACCAGCGGATCCAGCAGTGATGTCCTCGAGGCCGAATGGGAGTCCACCTCCCTACGAATCAGATACTGGATAGTGAGTCTCTTTCAATGAATATACAGTAAACCTTACTGTTGTTGAATATTTTTGATTTATTTTAAATGCTTTCAAATGTTCACCTAAAGATAAAGCTTAATACAGACTGTTTATGGATACTCTATGGAAGCAAAGAAAGGCCACAATAATTTGAGTTTGGTTGAAATGTTGGAAAATGTTACTGAATTCTTTATGTTTCATGCAGAATGAAAAATATGTTTGCTTTGGAAATTAAACTAGGGGTTTCTAGGAGGCAATTTGAATATTCCTTTTTCTGAAAAACATTTTTATTTAATTATGGGTTCACAAATTCAAAGCAACTATATAAGTGTTGGGTTTTCAGTCGGTCATCTAAGTTTGAAAAAAATCATTTAAAATTCCTATTCCCTATTTGACATTTCGGATTAAAGCAATTGATTGTTTTTAACTTTTAGATGTATAAATAACACATTTGACTTTATTTGAACCTGTAACTGACATGAAGAAAACCTCTGAAATCAAGATTTTAAAAATCACACAAATTCTTCGTCACAAATGTAAAACCTCGTAAATTCAGATTTACGGTTTTACAAAAAAATATTTCAGGGGTGTTTCAATTCTACACATTCAGCTGATTTCTTTGTTACTCTCTTCTCAGTAATGTGCCCCCCCAACCAGCCTATTCCTACTACCCAGACGATGAGTTCCAGCATTTCTACCGCTGGACGTCTCCACCAGGCATCCTCAAAATCATGTCCATCATCTCCCTCGTGATGTGCGTGGCCATATTTGCCTGTGTTGCCTCCACGCTGGCCTGGGACAGTCAGGGAGCGATGAGTGGCATGGGAGGGTCCTACGGGGGAACTGGGTATGGTGGCGGTGGGTATGGTGGCGGTGGGTATGGTGGCGGTGGGTATAGCAGCTTTGGAGGCGGTGGATATGGAGCTGGAAACAGCTATGGCTACGGTGGGCTCGGAGGAAACTACAATGACCCCCGCAAGGGCAAAGGGTTCATCATCGCCATGGCAGCCATCACCTTCATCGCCTGCCTGGCCATCTTCATCATCGTCGTTTCTCACCAGAGCCTATCAACAAGCAGGAGGTTCTACCTAGCAGTCGTGATCATCAGCGCTATCTTAGCACTGCTAATGCTAATAGCAGCTATAGTGTACCTGGTGGCAGTGAACCCGGCCTCTCAGTCCTCGGGATCGGCCTTCGGCAGCCAGATCGCTGCACTATGTGCTCCGTACAAACACACACAGCCCACTGGAGTGTTTGTCAATCAGTATCTGTACCACTACTGCGTGGTGGAGCCACAAGAGGTGAACACACACTTGAATTTGTTTGTTGTCTTTAAAGGGGGATTTGTTGTAGGGTGTGGCCATGTATCAATGTTAAATTGATATGGTGATATCAGACTAGATTTCTTTTAGATTTTTGATATCGTAATATGGTAAAATTGTAAGTTTTCCCAATTTTAATGGATGCACCGAAGTAAAGTGTTGTCATTTTCAAATTTGTATTAATTCTATTTACCCACTTATATAAATATAACTACTTATAATCCAATTACTGTTGTTTATTTATCAAACATCTCCTTGGGTAAACATTAACCCTAAACATTTTTTCACAATATCGATTTTGAGGTATTTGGTCAAAAATATTTAGATTCTTTGGATATAATCCGTATGGTCCAGCCCTTATTTGTTGTGTTTGTAACTCAGTTTTTTTCTCCTCTCAGGCCATCGCGGTAGTGTTCGGCTTCCTGGTCGCCATCGCTCTCATCATCATGCTCGTCTTCGCTCTGAAGACTCGCAAGAAAATCCAAAACCACGGCAAGAGCAGCATCCTATGGAAGAGGGTGAAGGTTATCGAGGAGATGGAGCCACCTCAAGATGTAGAGGCATGGGTGAGTTAATTGTTCAAAAACTAGTGTACATGCACATCCAACCCTAATTAAACAGGTGTTGAGCTGAAGGGGAGCACACAATTATGTCAAATAAATAGCTTGCACACACAGCACGGGAGCCCTACAGTGTTCAAGCTGTTTAAGCCATTTGTTTTGAGTTAATTATTCAACCTGACTGTTGGGGAATAATTTGCTTAGGTATTCAATCTTTGACACAGTTAATCATTTTCCCCTTTCACTGTCTCTTTTCCCATGGCATAAGTCTACGGCATTGCTGATATCTCTCTTAAGGAGGGGCAGCTGGGCGCATTGTTGTTGTCAGCTTATGACCGAGCACAAGCTGACATGAGATAGTTTATTGTTCAGGGACATCTAGATGCCCTTATTTTCTGGGACGTAGGTTCCCTGGCGCACATTATTTTCTATGGACGACAGCTCTAGTTAGATTTAGGGTCCATATTTGTCTCGCTGATAAAGAATGTTGATTATTACACTCCAAACTAGTTAAAGCCTCAAACTACAGAAGAGTTCTTCAGAATTAATTTGGCATCTGTACCCTGTGGTCAACTCGTGGCCCGTGACATGTCTTGCGAATTCTCCGGCCGAAGCTCCAAATAAACCGTCAGTGTTTGCCATCAAAGCTCCAGCTCTGGTCCTGTTTCCAATTGCTTCAGAAGTTTCCTTCACGGACAAGAGCTGAAACTAGAAGTCCGTACAGTCGATAGACAATTTAACGGAAACAACTTCAATCATTGTTTGTGCCGTATTTACAGCAAAAATAGTAATAAAAAATGATGAACATACTATGCCTCCAGTTGCTCCAATATGAGGATTCGCTGCTTTTAATGTTGTATATGCTTTTTGTTATTTTAGCTGAATGTTGTTTGGGTTTTGGTTGGATGAAAACAAAACATTTGAAGACAGTACCTTTTTTAAAACTGATATGGGCAATTTCGAGGAGTGTTTTTTTAATTGTATTTAATATTCTAGTTGTTTCCTCGACCAATAAAATAAACTGTAAACTGAGTTGCATGTAAAATCATTACGTGTGTGAAGCTTGCGCTATGAAAGATTTGGCATTTTTGCTTTATTATTTAAATGACCGGTAAAGGGATAAAACAATTGGTTTATTAGTTGCTTGACAGAAAATGAATTGGCCACTTTTTTTAAATTGAATAATCAAACTGTGATGTTTCAATGTTATTCTCAATCACCCATGACCGTAACCTGTTTAGGGTTTTGGATAAATCAAGACAAGGAGTCCCATCTCATTCCCATTTTCAGTGTTGTTGTTTTTTAAGACATAGAAATGAGAGACTGCAGCAGATAAATCCACTATTACAAAAACTGCAGGCCTAAAAAGTTAAGTAATTATAGAACAAGTTCATTTAATTGTTAATTGATTGACTCAACCAGCTCTTAAAAATGTTTGAAGTTAAAATCAGAAGAAGCTATCATGGCAGATTTTTAAGGCCT